GGTTCTTAAATTGGGTGTTAATGAAAAGAAATCTTATTCTTAAATTTAAGGAATTTATTCTTAAATAACCATTGTGTTCACAGCATAAATTTGGTTCAAGGAGACATAAATCCTTGAAATTAAGCTGAAAGAAAAGCAAATTATCCTCTGAGGTGGGGATGTGGGCCGGGAGTGGCTGTTGTGGTGCCCCAGGTCTGTGTCTGGTCTGACCTGCTGCTGTCTGTGGTGAGGGTGACCCCAAATTTCCCTGGAGCACCCTCAGGAGCCGCCCTGGGCTGTCCATGGGTCCCACCTGGAACCCCAGGGGTGGCACTGGGAAGGCTGTGTGGCCACTGGAAGCACATTCCTCATTCCCACCCCAATCCTGGCTGTTCCAGTCAATGACAGTTTGGTTTCTGTGGCTGATCCAGTGGTTCCCTTTGCAGTGGGATGAGGGGTCTCTGCACAGCACTGGGATAACCAGCAGCTCCCAAGTCCAGGGGTTGGATGTTGATTTAAAAAGCTGCTCTTTTATTTGTGATTCCCCTCCTGGTTCCTTGTGGCGAGGCCACTGTGGCACCAAATCCAGCTGGGAACAGACCCCAGCACTGGCTGCTTTCAATTAACACAACCCCAAAATCAGCCTGTGTTCCCTGGTGTGTTCAGAGTTAAAAAGGGAATTGTTTGGGAGCAGCAGAAGCTGCCTCAGCCCTGGGGGCTCTGCCTGTGCCCAGCCTGGGTTAATCTGCTCATGGGGAACGTGCCCAGGGACACAGAGCTCGTGTGGAACAGGAGACACATCCAGGTGCTGCCTTTCCTTCCCCCCCTGGATCTGCTGCCTCAGCTGTCTCTGCCTTTCCTGTCTCAAACCTCCCTGTCCCTCTCTCTGTCACCTCAGGGTGCTGTCACTCTGCTGGTGACTCTTGGAAATGGCTCTCAACACCCATTCCAGCAGCATTCCCCAGGCAGCTGCAGCCTGTGCGAGGCACCCGTGGGATCCCGGGATGGTTTGGGTGGGAAGGGACCTCCAAGCACGTCCAGTGCCACCCCCTGCCATGGGCAGGGACACCTTCCACCAGCCCAGGGTGCTCCAAACCCTGTCCAGCCTGGCAATAGGAACCAGCTGGGGCTGTGTCACCCTCTGGAGCTGAGCTGGGAAGGGCCAGATCCTAAACTGCCCCCCCCTTTGTAAAGGGGTGTGTGTAAGTCAGGTGTAAGTCAGGCTGACCTGCAAAGTGCTCTTTGCACTGAGGTTGATGCTGTTCAGTGGCAGAAGGTCCTTCTCAGGTCAGCACAGTCCTCCCCACTCCCCTCCTGGGAATCATCCTGGCTTGGACACGGATGATCCCACAGATCCTCCATCCTCCTCCATCGCTGGGCTGTTGGCCCCTGTTGACCTCGAGTCACCAAAAGGGTTTGCAGATGAACTCCCCAGAAACAAATCCAATCTGTGCCTGGACCGAGTCCTTTTAACACATCCCAAACTGGGCCCTGTGAGTCCTGGAGCAAACTCTGCTCAGCAGGAACCCCACGGGAGCGGGACGGAGAAGGGAATCACAGGGATCGTTTCCAGTGGGACTCTCTCTCCTTTTGCTGTCGCTGGCTCTTTGCACTGACCCTTTGTCCTTCCCTCTTTGCACTGACCCTTTGTCCTTCCCCCCCTGCCCCGGGGTGAGGCACTGATGGCTCTGTTGGTCCTTGGCAGTGTCCTGGACAGCCCGGGCCGGCTGGACGAGGAGCACCGGCTGATCGCCAGGTACGCTGCAAGACTCGCCGCCGAGGCTGCCAACGCTGTAAGTGATCCCAGGGGGCAGGGAGGGGCTCCAGGGGTGGGGATGGGGGGCTGGATCCCCACACCTGCACCAAACAGTCGGGGTTTGTTTGTTCAGCAGCACAGTTCCTTGTTTCTGCGGGAACAGGGCACTCCCGGGAGCGGGGAACGGGAGCGCGGATGATCCCAAACGAGGTCAGGGCAGCTGAGGGAATAAGCAGATTAGTCCTGCTTAAGCCCAGAGAGGAGATAAATAGATACCTGAGGAAAACAAATCATGGAGCAAACACTGAGGGAATGTGTTTATTCCAGAGGGGAGGAGCCCGAGAGGCAAAGGAAGGTGGTTTCTGCGTCCGCGGTTTCTTCTCGCAGGAAAGGGAAACACCCAACACGTTGTAAAGGGGTAAAAATGAATCCTGCTCCAACAGAAAAAATTGCTACAGGAGAACAACAAGAATTTACTGAAATTCTGTGGAATATTTTCAGGCTGCCTGGATGGGGAGGTTATTTATCCCTAGGGAAGGAGAGCAGAGTTTGCAGGAACCATCTCCCGCATCCCTGAACTTCCTTCAGCTCATAACCCACCTTTGGCAGAGGGACGTGAGCAGATACTTCTATAAAACTTTAATAAGAACAGAATCGTGCTTTCTGAACGTTTTTAAGTGGCAGTTCCCACCACCTCTGCCAGAGGGTGGGGTTGCACCTCCCCAGCCTTTCTGTTCAGCAGGGCCGTGGTCATGTTAAAATATTAAAGTGATAAAGCGCCAAGTTTCGGGTTTGGATGGGAAAAAGGAGGAAATTTCCATGCAATCATGTAAAATTCAAGTTGTTTAACGTGAGGCAGTAAGTGCTGAGTCACTGTCACGCTGGAAGGTGGTGGAACAGTTCTTACTCATGACTTGACTTTTTCTGGTGGAAACAAAGTGTTACGAAAACCAAGGAGTCACCGACTGGTTCTGAAAGAACCTGATGGTTTGAAAAACCTGTGAATCACCTCAGCCTGCCCCCGTGTCCACTTCAGTTCTGGAAGGGGTCAAAAACTGAAGCAATTATTTGGGTGTGCAGAGCAGCATTTTGAGTTTGTTGAGGCTTCTCAGAGTCCTGTGACAAATTCCTGCTCTCTTTTCACCCACGTGGAAGGGCAGAGGGCAGAGCAGGGCCAGGGACTGACGTGGGACAGGGAAGGGATGAAAGAGGAACAACAGTGAGTTTCCATTGCAACCAGAGCCTGGCCATGAAGAATCTGAAGTTATTTACTGGCCCCACTGTTTATTCCCAGTGCAGAAATGCCAATCAGCTGAAATGGGTGGATTTTTTTTTGTTTATATTCTGAAGGAATCCGAGTTGAAAGGGCTTTGCTTCGTGGCAGCTTCTCGTTATCCCTCAGCAATGGAAAACCCTCCTCCCTTGTCCAAGTTGGGAATTGTAGCTTGGTGGGGGAACATCCCCCTGAGCCCTGGGACAGTGGGACGTGTCCATGTCCATGGGGACAACGTGCCACATCCCCAGGGACACGTCTGTGTGTCTGCAGGGGGTTCCCTGCTCCTGGAAGATGAAACAGCTGAGATGTTTGAGCCAAAATCATGGGTTTTTTCAATATTCTTCTTGCAACATTAACACAGAGAGACAGGAGTGAAGGAGAGGCTGGGAAATCCAAAACCAAAGAAAAAAAGAAAAAGAGCAATTTTCTTCTTTCCATGTGGAATTAAAATGGGGAACATCAGATGAAAACCCCAACAGAATAAACATCCTGGAAATCCAGTAGGAGAAAAGATGCTCGTTGAGTGTTGGATATTGGGAAGGAATCCTTCCCTGGGAGGGTGGGGAGGCCACGAGGGATTTATGGAATATTTGTCAGTGGAGACTTTGAAAGCGAGGCAGACCAGTATCTGCTGGGAACACTGGGGAGAGGCTGATGGGAATGGAATTATTTCCTGCTGTCCTCCCCAGCCCTGCCTGGCAGGTGGGATGTGCTGTATTTGCTGACATGCTCATGCAGAGGGTCCCAGGGACAGACTGTTCATGCTCCAGCAGCCTGGGGTAAAGATTCTTACTCCTTCCTTTGGAGTCATCTGAGTGGACACTGGGAATTGTCCATGGGACAGTGTGGACACTGGGGATCATCCATGGGCCAGGGTGGTCACTGGGAATTGTCCAGGGGACAGTGTGGACACTGGGAATTGTCCATCAGGCAGTGTGGACACTGGGAATCATCCATGGGACAATGTGGACACTGGGAATTGTCCATGGGACAGGGTGGTCACTGGGGATCATCCATGGGACAGGGTGGACACTGGGAATTGTCCAGGGGACAGTGTGGACACTGGGAATTGTCCATCAGGCAGTGTGGGCACTGGGAATTGTCCATGGGACAGTGTGGACACTGGGAATCATCCATGGGACAATGTGGACACTGGGGATCATCCATGGGACAATGTGGACCCTGGGAATTGTCCAGGGGACAGGGTGGTCACTGGGGATCATCTATGGACAGGGTGGTCACTGAGGATCATCCATGGGACAGGGTGGACACTGGGAATTGTCCATGGGACAGGGTGGACACTGGGAATTGTCCAGGGGACAGTGTGGACAGTGGGGATCATCCATGGGACAGCGTGGACACTGGGAATTGTCCATGGACAGTGTGGTCACTGGGAATTGTCCATGGACAGTGTGGACACTGGGAATTGTCCAGGGGACAGTGTGGACACTGGGGATCATCCCTCAGGCAGCGTGGCCATGGGTCTAACTCACCCCATCCCTCTCTGCTGTCCCTCCAGGGTTGGAGGAGTCTCTGCAGGGCTGTTCTGGGGTGAACATCCCCCACCACGGGACTGCAAACACACCCCTCAACACCTTTGGGGGAAAAGCCTTTCTTTGCTCAGTGTCTGACCGGGACAAAACAATTTGAGGCAGATCTGAGGGTTCATTCTTGAACTCCAAGCCTGTTTGTTGTTGAAGGAGGGCAGGGGCTGGGGAGGAGGAAGGAGAGGGGGAGGAGGGAGCCTCGGTGCCAGGGGCGAGCAGGGCATGGCAGGGGGGTCTGTGTCCACTCCCAGAGCTCTGACTGAGCTGCTCTTGTTCCCCTCGAGCCACTCTTGCAGACAATACACCCCTTTTGTTGAATCTGAGTGCTCAGGGCAGGGCTGGCCCTGCCCCATCTGCTCCTGGCAGAGCCCTGACCCCAAACAGCTCCAGCGGGAGGGGCGGGAGGTGACGGGATGGATGGAGTGAGGGGATCAGCAGAGAACAACCCAAACTTCCATTAAACCACAGCTTTCAGGATCACAGCTTTGCCTCCCTCTGCTGCTCTGCCCAGCTTGTCAGCCCCAGGTGAGGAATAACCTGCTCTTTCCTGCCCTGCATCATCATTTTGGGATGAAAGCAGGGAGTGGAGCAGATCTCCTGCATCCCCCTTGGCTGCTTCCCCCTACAAAATCCACCTCCACACCCAGGGCAGGTCCCACCTCGGTGCTGCCTGACCCCCTGGACACAGCTCATCCTGCAGAGGGGGTGGCTGCACCCCCAGGGAAGGGGAGGATCCCTTGTGTTTTGGGTGAATAAATGTATATATGAGAATATATCCACTTTCTCCCTGGGCAGGTTGGTTTGTGGGGCAGGGGTTGGTGGGACCCCTGTGCTGAGCTGTGCCTGTGGGGGCAGCTCTGGCACCTCACAAACACAAGCCAACGCTCAGTTCTGGCTGAGTGGGTAATTAGGTTGAGTTATGTGGATGAGTTACGATAATTAGGTTCTTGCCCACGTTGCTCTTTTTTTTTTTGGTTGCTCTTCCCTCAGCATCAGGCACTGCTAAAAGCCTGTGATCATCTCATCTCATCTCCTGAAAGCTGCCCACAGCCTAAATAACAGAATATTCCCCTCGTGGAGCTTCTCTTTCAGGTGTTGGGCATTGTTTAATGCGTAATTTTTAAATAAAAGAATGAGTAAACCATTTTTTTCCTGTCAGATAAATCCTCAGCTGGGTTCTTGGATCATTCCTTCTTCTCCTCCTTGATAAACCAGCTAAATGAACCATTTTTTTGTCATTTGGTTCCCCTCCTTTGCCTGTTGATCCCCAGGAACCCTGTGGCACCAGGGTGGTGGAGCAGCTGAAGTGCTGGCTCAGACCTTCCATGAGGTCCTTGCACCAAGGATCTGATGCCCAGGAGACCCAAACTTTGCTGTTCTTTCACAGTTTCTCCCAAATCCTGGTGATGGGAAGTGCAGTGGCTGCCAAACTGGCTCTGGGGGCTGGTTTGAACACCCCCTTCTCTCCCCCCAGACAGGGGTGGTGTGGGTGAGGTCTGAAGGCTCCTGTCAGCAAACACCACCCCAGCAGGGATTGGAGCTGATGATCCCTATGGATCCCTTCCAGCTGGAGATCCTCTTGGATTCCTGACCTGCAGTTCCAGCCTGGCTCACTCCCTCCCTGGATCAATGGCCAGCTCATAGGAAAACTAAATTACAGTGAAACACAGGTTTCCCTGGTCCTGTGTGATGTGAAGGGTTCTGAGTAGATTTTATGCCCCTCATATGGATTTTCTTGCTGGGATAAAATGGGCCCTTGGATGATCTCAGAGCTGTTGAGGCCTCAGCAGAAGTTGAGTTGTTGGGTTTGGTTTTGTTGTTTTTTTAGTCATTTTGACTTGCACTGTTGGCTCCCAGCAGGTCTTTGCACTCTGGAGTGAAAAGCCCTGGTAGGAGTGGAGCAGCCAAGGGATCCATCCCCGGAGCTCCGAGCTGCTGAGCAGGGCAGGAGCTCAACCTGGGGGCTTTTAGAGCCTGCAATTACAGCCATAAATCTTGGCAGGCACGAGCCATTCAGCCCTGCCTGGGGAGATGGAGAGCAGGCACGGGAGTGCTGACTAGGAAATGGAGGGTTTGGGGTTGGGTTTGTTTCTTCTGAGGGCAGAGGTTTTAAAAACCACACAGGGCTTTCCCGGGGAGGGCAGGTCCCTCCCCTCAGGATGAAACGTGCAAATGTGAGGATGGATTCTGTCCCCGGGTTTATGGGAAGGATGGAATTTGCCACCACAATCCCACACACCCCAAACTGTTCCAGGGTGGTGACAGTGAGGATCTGGTGTTAATAAAAGGCTGGGCAGAAATGAGAGCAGAGGCAATGACCACGTTTGAATTCAATGCCTGTGAATATTGTTCCTTTCCATGGATGGTGTTTCCTGGCCTTTGTGGTGCCAAGGGGTGCCAAGGGCAGTGTGGGCAGTCTGGGGGTCCCACCTAACATGGCATGAGATGGGGGTCTGGGTTCAGGTTTATTTAACATGGAATTACAGCACTGAAAGGCTTCATTTGACCCCAGTGCCACTGGATGGGTTGGGAAAGGGGAGAACTGGCACCTCTGGAAAGCACAGGGAGTCAGGATCAGCTGTGGGAAGCCCTTCCTGGGGAGATGTTCCTGTGAAGGTGTTTCTGAGCACTGATGGAGCTCTGAGAGCTGAACCAGGGGATGCAGAACGTGCCTGTTGGCAGCATGGGGGGGTGTCCAGCAGGGCTCTGGGTCCCAGGCTGAGCTGTTGGTCATTCCAGACTGAGCTGTTGGTCATTCCAGACTGAGCTGTTGGTCATCCCAGACTGTCCTGGACGGGGTTTCTCCAGCTCCTCTTCACTGACTGACATGGGAGGGTCAGTGTTTCACCAGGGGACTTCAGGAGAAAAGGAATGACTGGGTTTGTTCCCAGGAAGACCCTTTGGGGCACTGGTAGGTGTGGGGGGTTTGTTTTCTAAACAAGACCTAAAAAAAATCTGGCAAATGCTGCTCCTGGACAGTGAGGATGAGGCAGCAGGAGCTCAGGCCGGGTCACCATCACCACCCTCGCTGTGTCCCAGGGCTGGGACAGGCTGGGAATTCTGGGGCTGGATCCGGACCCTGCACAGCCCCTGGCAGGCAGGGAGTGCTCGGTGTGACTCTCAGGTGTAATTCTCAGGTGTGACCCTCTGTGTTCTCCCCCAGCCCCGCCCGCCCTCGGACCTGGGCTTCAGCTTCGATGCCAACAAGCAGCAGCGGCAGCTGATCGCGGAGCTGGAGAACAAGAACAGGTAAAAACGGGCTTTGATCTGTTCTCTTTTGGGAGCCGTCCCTGCGCTTTGTTGTTTGGAACCCTCCGTGTTACATTAACCAGGTTGTTTACCCGGGTCTTTTGTTAAAGGCGGAGCTGCCTCGTTAACTGATTAGTCAGTCATTAACGTTAGTTAATTAGCATTGTGGAGGGGCTGCCCTGCCCCCGGTCCCCGGGAAGTGGGTTGATCTTCTCCACTAATCTTCTTAAAATCATCTTGCCCAGCTCTGAGCACCCGGAGCCCGTTTCTCTCTTGTCTGCAGACCCAGAACCCCCCGTGCCCTGGGCTGATCCCACAGGGATGGTGGGCAGCAGGGCAGGGGGGATCTGCCCCTCTGCCCCCTCAGCTGAGACCCCCCTGCAGAGCTGCCTCCAGCCCTGGGCAACAGCAGCACAAGGACGTGGAGCTGCTGCAGAGAGTCCAGAGGAGGCCCCGCAGATGCTGCCAGGGCTGGAGCCCCTCTGCTCTGGAGCCAGGCTGGGAGAGCTGGGGGTGCTCAGCTGGGGAAGAGAAGGATCCAGGGAGACCTTGGAGCCCCTTCCAGAGCCTAAAGGGGCTCCAGGAGAGCTGGAGAGGGACTGGGGACAAGGGATGGAGGGACAGGACACAGGGAATGGCTTCTGTGGGGAATGGATAGATGGGATATTGGGAAGGAATTCCTGCTGGGAGGCCCTGGCCCAGGTTGCCCAGAGGAGCTGTGGCTGCCCCTGGATCCCTGGAAGTGTCCAAGGCCAGGTTGGACGGGGCTTGGAGCACCCTGGGCTGGTGGGAGGTGTCCCTGCCCATGGCAGGGGGTGGCACTGGATGGGCTTTAAGGTCCCTCCCAACCCAAACCATGGGATCCTTCTTGCTCCAGAGGGTCACCTGTGGAGCCTCTCCAGGCTCTCCTTGTGCCTGTGCTCAGCTCTCCCTGTGCTCCAGCTGTGCCAGGCTGTGTGATCCAGCTTCCTTACCCAGCCCTGTGCCAGGGCACCCTCAGCACCCTGGGGTAAAACACTGCCCAGGGGGGGGTTTGGAGGAGAATCAGCTCCTGGAGAGCAGGAGCAGCTCAGCCCTGGCACTGCCACTGGCCTCAGTGCTCCACCAAGAGACCTTGCAGGTTATTTGAAGTTATTCCTGGAGATCCCAGATAAGGGGAGATCCCAATCAGTGCTGGTGTGAAGCCCTGCCAGGAGAGCAGCTCAGCAGTTCCTGGAGCTGACAACAGTCCCCACTGCCAGGGGGGTTTCATTCCCTTGGCCATGGCTGTGATGTTCCCTCCCCTCTGGCTGGGCAGGTCCCCTTCCCCTGGGGACACTGCAGGGTTTGCCTCTGTTCCAATGTTGTTCTCCTCGTTCCTGCTGCCCTGCCCAGAGCCCTTGGGGAGGGGAGAGAGGAGCTGAGTGGAGCTGGCAGGTCCTGTGGTGCCCTTCCTGCAGTACCTGCCGGGCAGGCTGTGCTCAAGATGGAACTTTTGTCCTCTTGGAACAGCCTCTGAGCCCATTCCGTGTGAAAGGACTTGCAAAGGCATTGCAATGAGTGATTTCACACTTATTAAGTAACAAATTTTGTGTGTTTTGCAGCAGTTCCTACACCTGCACCAACTCACCTGTCCTGGGTGAGTGAACAAAACTGCAGTGCCCGGGCTGGGGCTGACAGAAAGGGCTGTAAAAGCTGTTCAGGAGCAGTGCAAAGACTGATTTTGCCCTTCCTTTTCCCTCCCCTGTGTCGTTCCCCCAGGGAGATCCTGCAGGAGATCCAGAGGCTCAGGCTGGAACACGAACAGGCCTCTCAGCCCACCCCCGAGAAGGCCCAGCAGAACCCCACCCTGCTGGCTGAGCTCAGGCTGCTACGGTAAAAACCAGCCCTGGGGGGTTTGGGGGGTGCTGGGGGTACTGGGAGCACTGGGAGCACTGGGAGCAGCAGCCCTGGGGGCACTGGGGGCACTGGGAGCAGCAGCCCTGGGGGCACTGGGGGCACTGGGAGCAGCAGCCCTGGGGGCACTGGGAGCACTGGGAGCAGCAGCCCTGGGGGCACTGGGAGCACTGGGAGCAGC